CAACCCCACAAGAAGCCGCGAGGTCTCACCTGGATCCCCGTGTAACTCCACCCCGCGGATCCCAAAACATAACGAAAAAGGTGACAATTGCACGCTTAGAAGCACCCCATGGATCCGCGAGGTCTCAACTGGAGCCCCCGTGTATCTGCACCCCGCGCGACCTCCCCAGAACCCGCGAAAAATGGCGACAACTGCACGCTTCGCAGTCCCCCAAAGAGCCGCGAAGTCTCATCTGTATTCCCGTGGAACTGCACTCCGCGCGACCTCACAGGAGCCCACGCAAGTGGCGACAAGTGCACGCTTAGGAGCCCCCCAGGGAGCCGAGAGGTCTAAACTGGATTCCCGCGTAACTCCACTCCGCGCAACCTCCAAGGAGGCCAAGAAAATTGCAGCAAATGCCCGCTTCGCAGCCCGCGAGGGAGACGCGAAGTCTCAACTGGATCCCCTGTGTAACTCCACTCCGCGCGACCTCCAACGAACCCACGAAAGTGGCGAAAATTGCACGCTTCGCATCCCGCCAAGAAGCCGCGAAATCTCAACTTGATTCCTGTGTAACTCCATTCCGTGCGACCTCCCAGGAGCAGGTGGCAGGAAGCAGGAGACAGGAGGGGGATGATGAGAAGGAGGCAAGAGGGGGGGAGGGAGGAGGTTGTAGAGTGCAGTGCTCTATTCAAAACGAGAGCCAATCGCAGGAGGATCGGGAAACAGCAAAGGGCAGGAGAGAAGGGATAGGAGGCAGGAGAGAGGATGGGGGAGGAGAAGGAAGGATAAGACGAGACCATAGTGCTCTGCTCAAAACGACAACACAACACAGGAGGGTTGGGAGATATGATTATGTGTTCGGAAGCCCGCACGAATCGATGAACCCCCAATCCCTGGCGCGCGCGGAGCGCGCCGGGTGCGGCGCCGGAGGCGCCGCCAGGTGTCCCAGCGCCGATGCAAGAACTCCGCGCGGAACTCAACGTTTTGTTTGTTTAGGCAGTCTTCTGTTCTTCGAGGCGAAGACCTCGTACTCGACGCTGGGATGGGGAAGAGGAGGGGGAGGAAGGTCCATTTTTCCTTCTCACCTCCCGGATCCTGTTTTACGATTTGTGTTTTACACTCGGCTTCCTTAACGTCCACCCCAGCACTGGCTGGGCTGGGTGGAGAGCTATCGAGGGCATCGGATCTCGTATCGCTCGGCCCTGTCCGCAGCTCGAAACTCGAAGCTCGAAGGGAAACGGGGACGACGACGACGACGCCGACGCAACTCACGGCGCCCGAAGGAAACGGCATTCGGGACACAGCTCGGCTCTCCAGCGGCCTGCGGGACTATCCGGGAACCCCCCGAAGGCCCTCGGAGAGACGCAACTGATCGAAAGCACCCCGAGACTCGGAGACCTCCTGGAACCGGTGGGTCGGCCATGGAAAGAAGAATGATGTAGGTGGCGGCGAGCCCAGGGGGGGGAATGAGCAGGAGAAGGCGCTCTCAGAAGGCGGCGGGGATTCTCAGCTGCGTCTTCGGGGAAAACGCAAAAACTTCTGAAGGCCGAGGTCTTACAAGCCTTCTGAGAAGGCCATATCCTTCTCACTTCTCCCCCCTCGCTGGCAGCCGCGAAGAGGAGGAGGAGAAAAAGGAGGAGGAGCAGGAGGAGAAGGAGGAACGGGAGGAGGAGGAGGAGGAGGAGGAGGAGGAGGAGGAGGAGGAGGAGGAGGAGGAGGAGGAGAAGGAGGAGGAGGAGGAGGAGGGAGGAGGATGAGAGGAGGAGGAGGAGGAGGGGGAGGGGATGAGGAGAGGAGGACGGAGGAGGAGGAGGGGAGGAGGACGATGATGATGATGATGAGGAGGAGGAGGAGGAGGAGGAGGAGGAGGAGGAGGAGGGGGAGGAGGAGGAGGAGGAGGAGGAGGAGGAGGAGGAGGAGGAGGAGGAGGGGAGGAGGACGCTGAGGAGGTGGAGGAGGAGGAGGAGAAGGAGGAGGGAGAAAGGGAAAGAGGAGGAGGAAGAGGAGACGGAAGAGGAGGAGGGGAAGGAGGGGGAGCAGCAGGAGGAGGAGGAGCGGAGGAGGAAGAGGAGGAGGACGAGGAGGAGGAACAGGATGATGAGGATGAGGAGGAGGAGGAGGAGGAGGAGGAGGAGGAGGCGGAGGAGGAGGAGGAGGACAAAAACAAGGGGGAGGAGGAAGTGACGGAGGAGGAGGAGGAGGAGACGGAAGCGGAGGAGGAGGAGGAGGAGGACGAAGAGGAGGAGGAGGAGGAGGAAGAGGAGGAGGATGTGGAGGAGGAGGAGGAGGAGGGAAGGAGGAGGAGGAGGAGGGGGAGGAGGGGGAGGAGGAGGGGGAGGAGGAGGAGAAGAAGGAGAAGGAGGAGGAGGAAAAGGACGAGGAGGAGAAACGGAATGGAATGGAATGCCCTCGAAAAGGGGGAGTGCACAGCACTAAGGTCAGAACAAGTCAGAGTGACTAGCCAGATTGTCTGGCTTCCTTCATACGTATTCGGTCCAGAAGGGCCGCCATTCTTTGCTCGTAAGTGGGTACTTCCCTGGAGGCCGAGAAAACGACTGGCACCACCGTAAAGTCAGGCACGCTCTTCGAGGGGGCCGACTCGACCGAGGAGGCGAGCAAGGGGGGGGCCAAAGCTACGTCCCAAGAACACCCGTGCTCGACGGTTCGGCGGCTTACCCGGGTAGTGACGTCTTAAAACCTCCTGACCTTTCTTAGTGGGCTTATCGTCAGGCCTTACGCAGGGTTTCGCCAGCTTTACGGCACGGCCCTGGGACCAGGCTCCACGACGCAGACATATCCAGCATCGCTTCTCAGGGGCATTCGCTCCCACGATCGCCGAGGAGGCCAGTTTATCAATCCACAGCCCAGCCGTCACGACGATGTGTCCCATGGGGTCCCTGAGAAGCCTTCTGATGCCAACTGGGACGTCGATGCATCCGTTCAGATCTAATTGAGACTGGTCATATCCTCCCAACTGTAGACATTTCCTGCATTGGTAGCCGAGGGTGGGATGATTGTGCCAATCATGAAACTGCTGCCTCACCGAGGACGCGTTCCTGCGGCGCGGGGCGACACGAGCCCACCTCGGCGACGCTTCGAACAAGGGTAGCACATGAGAGGCAAGCTTGACAAAGTGATTAGCGCGCTCCTCAGCAAGCGACAAAGACTGAAGGAAAAGAGGATCAGCAGAGGGATGATCCGACAACGCCATCTTCGCATGGTAGTCAACAGCGGCATCAGCAACTGCGAATTCACGCTCCGTTATTTCCAGAGCTTCGATCTCCTGACTGGAGCGGTGTGCTTTAACGTGGCGAATGCGTTCGATGAAACTCGTTTTTTTTTTCAGTGACTGAGCGACAAGCCTGATGCCTGCAAGCTTCGAAGATGCTTGCAACTGCTTTTCCACGCTGCCCTGTGCAACATGTATGGCTGACGTGCAGTCAGCAGCTAGAACTGTTTTCCTGTTCGCAACCTGACCGCACAACGCAATGCCAACATGTTCCGCCATTGCTGGCGTCTGAAGAAAAGTACCGTGGACCACGCCACGCATCACCGCAACAGGCTCAGGCTGATCCCCGCTTGCAGGCAGCACTGCAATGGCCCATGACGCTCGCTGGAGCGCGCGGATCGGAGGCTTCAAGCATGAGCCGTCGGAGGCAAGTCTTAAAGTTTCCTCCCCCGACAACTCAGAAATCCTTTCGGGCTCCAGTGGCAGCGGGCTGCCAGAAACATCGAAAACCTCGACATCCGACGAAACAGACGGTTTTGGCAGCCCGCTGTCAGAGTAAACAAAAATGCCCCTGGTGAAAATCTCCAGGTCGGGCTCTGCACGAGCCGTTTCCATGAAGCCCCTTGGGACTTCAGCCTCTTCCCTAGCTCGGGCCACGTCCTCTCGGGTGCACTCATAGAGTCTGTGGTGGAGTGTCGACCCGACCGCACGAACAACGACCGTCAGTCACGTAACCAGCACGACGACCTCTCTCATTGGTCCACACTCCATTGCATGCACAGCTCCGAATCAAAAGCTTGGCTTTCTTGCTTAACACCCGAGCCTTCGGCCCCACGCGAGATCTAATCAGATCCAAGGTGGCCCTTTGCCCTGGGGGGTGACCCAAACTACTGGCTAATTGCATATCATGCTCTCGCTGAATTCCCATCTCGAGCTGCTCGGCTAGGAGGGCAGGCGGGGTTTGATCCACGAGGACCTGCAGTCCATTGTGGTCATACCACTCCAGTGGGCCCCTAGCCGACGAGGAGGAAGAGGAGGAGGAGGAGGAGGAGGAGGAAGGAGGAGGAGGCGGAGGAGGCGGAGGACGAGGAGGCGGAGGAGGCGGAGGCGAAAGCTGAGGAGGAGGAGGAGGGGGAACCGCAGCAGGAGGAGGAGGAGGAGGCGGAGGCGGAGGCGGAAAAGGCGGAGGAGGAGAATGAGGAGGATAAGGAGGGGAGGGAGGAGGAGGAGGAGGCGGAGGCGGAGGATGAGGAGGCGGAGGAGGAAGGAGGAGGAGGAGGAGGAGAAGGCGGAGGAGGAGAGAGGCGGAGGCGAGGATGAGGCGGAGGAGGAGGCGGAGGTGGAGGAGGAGGAGGAGGAGGAGGAGGGAAGGAGGAGGAGGAGAAGGAGGGAGGCGGAGGCGGAGGCTGAGGAGGCGGAGGGAGGAGGAGGAGGAGGCGGAGGCGGAGGCTGAGGAGGACGAGGCGGAGGAGGAAGAGAAAGAGGAGGAGGAGGAGGAGGAGGCGGAGGAGAAGGCGAAAGACGAGGAGGCGGAAGGGGCGGAGGAGGACGAGGCGGAGGAGGAGGAGGAGTAAGCGGAAGCGGAGGCTGAGGAGGAGGAAACGGAGGAGGAAGAGGAGGAGGAGGAGGAGGAGGAGGAGGCGGAGGCGGAGGACGGGGAGGCGGAGGAGGAGGCGGAGGCGGAGGCGGAGGCGGAGGAGGAGGAGGAGGAGGAGGAGGAGGAGGAGGAGGAGGATGGCGACGACGCACTGGCGAGAACGGCGCCCAAAGTAGACGGAGGGGGGGAGGCCTCCTGCGCCTGCGGCAGGGATAGCCTCTGCGCCTGCGGCTCCTGGGCGGGGGGCACGGGGCGAACGCCGCTCGCGCCCGCCACCGCCCACCGCCCTCCTCGCCCGGCTCCCTCACGAGCGGCGAGCGTGTCAATATTTGGCGGCGCGCACAGGGGGGCAGGGGGAGGGGGAAGGGGCAAGCTAGGTGCGCTCGCGTCATATCTGACGTCCTACCCCTCCCTCCCACCCCCTACCATGGCGTAGATCTCTTCTCTATTCACACAATCGGATGTCGTAGAATGGCATAGCCATACATGGCATAGTGCATAGTATGGTGTTGAAAATTGACGTGTAGCATGACATAGCATGGCGTGGCGAGGCCCCAAATGGGGGGGGGCTTCTGCGGCCCAGAAACTCAATGAATCGACACCGAATGTGTAATTACTTCTGATGGTTTTTCCAAGAGGCCCTTCTTTAGACTTTGGGGCCGATTCGGAAAAAAACAAGCGTGGCGGCACCCCAAAGTGGGGGGGGGCTTCTGCGGCGCAAAAAATCAACGAATGGACACCGAATGTGGAATCACTTCCGATGGTTGTTTCGGGGGGGGGGGGGGGCATTTTCTAGATGTTGAGGCCATTTAGAAAGACCGAAAATCATGCCGTGGCATGGCGCCGGGAAGCAGCTCGACATCTCAAAACACCCACAAGTGTCAAGCACGCGACGATACAGCGTCCTGATGGAACCCTTGCAGACACAGCTGAACGAGCAAATGTGTTGGCCGACGACGTCGAAGACGTTCAATGGCAAGTTCGTTTCCCAGAGAACACCTCGGAGCCACGCCCACCCCTAGGCAATCAGCTGCCTATCAACACGGGTCCTTCTACCATAGAAGATCTCGTCGAAGCGCCTCGCCGGCTACGTCGTGGTAAAGCTGCTGGACCTGATGGGGTTCCGCCTGATTTCTGGAGAACGTTGGGGTCGGGCCCGGAAGCTTCTGCAAGTGTGTTTCGTTTGTGCCAAAAGTGTTAGGGACAAAAACCCATACCTGCATCTTGGAGGCATGCGAACGTAGTTCTTTCATTCAAGATAGGAACATCACTCTTCCATAACACTACAGACCAATTTCTTTATTACATATTGGATATCAGCTTCTTGCATCCATGTTACACCAACGTCTGCTTCGAGGTGGAACTGAAACCAGAATGCGGGGGTCACAATTTGGGTTTCGCCCTGGGCGTGGGGCAGCCGACGCTCTCATGCTAGAACGGCGCATGGTTGACGCGGCACACGCTAACAAGAATGGTGGCCTTATTTTATTGATGTTGGATTGGGCGAAGGCTTTTGACAGACTGAAGCCATCAAGTATGTGCGACGCTCTACAACGCTTTGGGCTTCCATCGGACATGGTAGTTGTATAGAAACAATGTACGCCGAACGCTACTTCACGATCGTTGACCACGCGGGAATATCCATAGAAAAACATAAGCAGGCCGGCATCGCGCAGGGATGTCCTCTTTCCACATACTTGTCTGTCTATTGCAGTACAGTCGGTCATGTTGCACGACGCTTTTGAGGCGAGAATTTCGAGGCTGACCCCGCCTACGTGGTGACGCGAGACATGTTGGATGCAGACGGCACGCTGCTGGCATCGCAGAGCTAGACGAATGTCCAGAGCACGCTGCATGCTATTGTGGCGGAGGGGCGTAAATCCGATCTCGAGCTTAACTGGAACAAAACACTCCAAATGCATATTGCTACCAATGACTTGGCTATCCGGTCGGATGGTGGTCCTATCGAAGCCGTCCGGGAAGCGGTCTACCTGGGAAGGATGATCAGTTGCGATGGTAAAGCAACTCCAGAAATCACCCGCCGCCTGGGGGAAGCGCAGGGCATCTTCAACAAGTTGGCAAAGATATGGTCGCCCACCGCGGTTGGCTGGAAACGAAAATTCAAGTTGTACGAAAGCGTTGTTTTCAGCAAACTGTTGTATTCACTTGATTCTTTGTGGCTGTTAAAAGCAGATAAATGCAGGCTCGACGCATTTCATTGCCGCTGCCTGCGGCGCATCGTGGGAATGCCGCACTCGTATCTGTCGCGCGTGAGTAACGCAGACTTCATAAACAGAGCTAGCCCCAAACCTCTTTCAAAGACTCTGCTTAAAAGGCAAAAACAAAATGTATCTCAGAATCGCAGCATGTAGTCCTTCTGCTTTGGTACGCAAATGCTAAGGTAATCTCGATGGTACTCCCAAGAACTGGGTGATGCACCGGAGGCGTTGCCGACCCAGGCAGCAGTGGGCTACCGAAGTGTACAAGACAGCGCAGCATATCTGAGATATCCTTGTTTTGTCCTCCACTTCCTCTCCCTATTCTGGCGTGCTTTTCGTATTTTTCGAAGAGTTGCCAATCGCGCGCTCGTCTGCCCACGCGTCCCTCCGGATGCTCGGCTTAGTGGTGGTGGTGGTGGCATGGCGCTGGGAACAATGACGCCAACGCTACAGCGGGAGCACGATCTGTAACAAGCGGAGGCAAAGAAATGAGGCCAACGCTGCAGCGGGAACACGATTCGGAACGAGCGGTAGCCCGAAAATGAGGCCAGCGCTTCTGCGAGTGCAGCAGTTTGAACAAGCGCCCAAGCGTGAAGCGCGGAAATGAGGACGCGTAGCCTAGCATAGCATGGCGTGGCAACGCCCCAAAGTGCGGGGGGAGGGGGCTTCTGTGTCCCACGAAATCAATGTGTAATCACTTCCGATGTTTTTTTCGGGGGGCCACTTACTAGATTTTGGGACCGATTTGGAAGGACCGAAAACCATGCGGTGGCATGGCGCTGGAAATAATGACGCCGACGCTACAGCGGGAGCAGGATTCGGAACGAGCGGAGGCAAAGAAATGAGGCCCGCGCGGCGGGACCACGATTCGGAACGAGCGGTAGCCCGAAAATGAGGCCAGCGCTTCAGCGAGAGCAGCATTTTGAACAAAGACACCAAGCGAAAACCCTTTTCCCAGGAATCCTGCGTTCAGCAAATCAATACTCGGAGGGGAGCCGAACATTTCCCGGACGAGAGTAGTATTCATATTGTTTAATGTTGGAAGTCTTCTCAGGAGGCTGCTTCATAGATCGGGGAGACGTAAAGCCCGGGTACGGGGGACTCGGAAATCCCCGACGAGGTCGTCAAAAAAATGACGAGGCCGAGCCTGCATTTTGACGAGGCCTCCCGCTGCAGACATCCCACGAAACTCCTCCTCGTCAAAATCCGAGTCGCGGTCGTCAAAAAACGATGGCGAACCCGAGTCCCGGCAAACCCGGGTCTTACGCTCCCCCGACAGGAGGCTGCTTCATAGAATTCGCCGGCATTACATCGACAGACAAGGCCCGGCTCCTGAGAAGCCTTCTCCCCTCCCCATGCCCCCTCTGCGCGTGGCCGACATATCCACGGCCTCGAGGTCTGGATTCAAGGGGATATGTCGACCCCTATCCCAGGCTTCGTGGGGTTTCCGAATGGACCAGAAATTTGGGGCCTAACCCTGGGATATACGATGGGGGGGTGTCCATTCTCGATAGGGGTGCGTCCGAATAGCCCCCTTGGGGTGTATCCCAGGGTTTTCCCATTCTTCTGAGCGGCCAGACTTTTCGGGCGAAACTCGGGGATTGGGGGAGAAACATCGCCCGCGAGATTCCAGGGCGCGATCCCGCGGACACGAGAACACACGCATACGTTCCGCGCGGGGCAGCTGCGACAAGAAGAGCCCGGCATCCACGGGGTCGCCGGCCAGGGGCCCGGCCTGCAAGGCCGTGGATACGGATGCGTGTCAGGCAAAGGACCCCCGCCTGTCTGGAGGAAGAGCAACTGCAGGAACAGAATCTTTCGGAAGTCCGCGGAGATCTCTTGGATCTTCACTGGAGCCCCCCTCCCTGGCACGCAGAGCGCGCAGGAGCGCCGCAGGCGCCGCCAGGGAGGTTCCAACGCAGATCCGAGAGATCCGCGCGGAGCTCCGAACATTGATGTTTGGGCAGTCGTTGCTTCTGCGACTGCTTCGTCTTCCCTTTCGGGTCGGGCACGCGCTAACATGAATTCAAAGGGAAATTGGGACACACAAATAAATACACACAAATAAGAATATCCCCCATATTTTCCCATATTTTCTGGGTTTCTGTCTTCCCCCCCACTTCCCATATTTTCCCATATTTTCTGGGAATCGCCGATTAATTGTGTCTGTGTGTTTTTTTTCCTCCTGAGACTTACGGAACTGTGGATTTGGCGCGCGGGCGCCAGATCCAGGCATCGGGGAAGGTATCCCCATGGCCCCAATGCCGCCGCCCCATTTGGCGGCAGAGCGCGCCGATTCTGCGCGGAAGCGGGGCCCATCGCTAATCCACGCGACTGTATCCATGGTTGCGCTTCCTCTATCTTTCTAAGGCAACTCGAACTGTGGTCAAGACAACAGGGGGTAAAGCTTTGGGAGTTCGGACCTGAATCGCTGCAACGACCTGTTCCCATGCGGTTGCTGCAGATGTTCCTCAGCCCAGAGTTTTTGTTACTAGTTCGAGAGGCCAGTTCGAGGGGCCAAGCGACCCTGCATCTCCCCCTCCCTCTCCCCCCCCCCCTCCCCCTCCTCTCGACCGACCCTGCTCCCCTCCCTCGCCGTCCCTTGCCGATCACCGCCGTCGTCCCCGTCCTCCTCCTTCTCCTCTACATCGCAGGCCTCCAGCGGACGCCTTCGGAAGGTCCGAGGCCCAGGAACCACAAGAGAGATCGCAGCACCTCGACCCTCGATGAAACGACGACAGCGACGACGACGACAACGACGACGACAAGGGCGACGACGGCCGAGCGGATGGATCCGACCTGGAGCGCGCTCTGGCCAGCATCCCAGGGAAACGCACATACATAGACACAACTCTCGCGGGATTCCCCCATATGTTCCATACCGTCTGGACGTTCGCCTAATCCTCCACATCCCATGCTTGTGTCTGTGATTCTTCCGACAGAAATCTCGATCCTCGAAGACGTCGACGACGTCGACGGCGTCGACTGCGGTCCCGGCGTCTCCCGTCGCCACGGGCCGAGCGCAGCTCCAAAAGTTCTCCCAGACGCGCTCCCTCCATCTCTCCTGCCCGGCGAAGACCACCCGAGCTGGCCGCGCGCGAGCCAGGTGCGCTCGCGCCACACCTGGCCTCCTGCCCCTCCTGCCCGCCCCTTCCCATGGCGCTGCTTTTGCTTCCACCCGCCGGCGGGTGTCACAGCAGACCCGCAGGTCCCCCAAAAGATCCCATCGAGTCACGCGCAATCGGAAGCAGGGAGCCGTGTACATGTGAGGGGCAGGTGGCAGAGATGGGGAGGGCGGAGGACTGGTGATGTGAGGCGACTCGCCCCATGCTTGATGTCTTGCTCGATGTGTCATCGTCTGTGCCAACGCCCTGCGCGGACTTCGAAGCCGTTTCAGGGCTCGTCTTCCTGTGCCACGTGCCGCGCTCGTTGCAAGACCGCGCGGAGATCACATCAGCAGCAGACCTGGTTCAGCCACATCCGAAGCCTCGGCAATTCGCTTCAATAGAGGAGTGCGGAGGAGAGGAGACCCCGGCTCTTCGAAGATGGGGTCCTGAGAGATGGGGCCCCAAGGGCGAGGTGCCTCAAACGGTGTGAATCCACCCTTGCACCCCTTCCCGTGCTTCGAACACCATCCCTCAAGACCCCACCTCTGAGCCTCGGAAAGGCCGGCGGCGGAGGGGGCGTCGGCGGAGGGAGGAGGCAACGCAGGTGGCAGCGCCGAGGGCAGCAGCGCAGAACTCGCGCGGGACTGGCGGGGGGGGGGAGCGGGCCGCCCCTGCAGGGGCACTCCCTGGTACGTACCAGCTTCTCATCCCGAGCCGCCCTCCGACGGCCCACGGGTGAGCATCGTCGAGGCGATCCCTATTCCCACTGGCGTGGCCTGGGCCCCACTGGCCAAGGTGCCCCCCTAGATGGGGACCTAGGCTGTCCCCTTCGGGCTTCGAGGGGTATCCCCAAACTGGGGTGGTGAGGTGCTGGGGCTCAGATGCAGTCAAAATCTGTAGTAAGGACGAGCTGTCAGGACGCAGGAGCCCTGGACGGTTCTTGGACTGAAGCTTTTCTAGCGACGCACTGCCGAAGTAATCTAAGGACGCAAGGGTATTGGGAAAATGACCCGTCCTTACTTCCCCAATCCGTGCTTGCACTGAAGGGGTCCTAGCGGAAGTTTTCAAATGGGCGAAAAAATCCCGCCGATTTTGGTAGGAGGCTGGGTTCCCGGGTTACCGAATCCAAGTTCCCTGGTTCCCGGTTATTGGTTCCGGGCCGATCTCGGTGGGTTCTGGGTTCCCGGGCTTCCGGGTTTCCGGTCGATCTCCTCAGCGAAAACCATCCGCTGACTTGGTTGTTTCTCTGGTGTGCTATGGATTTTCACTGTGCCATGGCCCGGTGGGGATGGGGCTGGGCTCAGAGATGCGGACTTGCGGCCCTCAGGGGCAGCCGTGTCCGCGCCTCGCGCCACCCGAAGCGCGCATCCCTTCGCGCTCTCGCAGCGCCGCCGCTGGAAGAAGCGGAGGGAGAGGCTGCGGATGAGGCATCGCGAGCCGCGAGCCGCGCATCACTTCGCGCCCTCGTGGCTTCCCTCGGGCCCTCAGGGGCCCGCTGCGGGCCTCGAGGAACCACGGAGGCGCGAGCATGGGCTTCCGGAGGTCGGCGCAGATCTCCCGGGCCGGCGCCGAAGCCCCCTTTGCCCCTTCCCTGGCGCGCAGGGCGCTCCAAGGCAAATCCGCGCGGACCGACCCGAAGCATCGGCGGGGCCCCGCGCGGCACCGGCGCAGCAACGACGCGTGGGGCCGGCTGGGGGTTCTCTGAGGTGGCCCATGCAGTGGTCCTGGCCAGCAGTGGGGGGCCAGCTTCGAGGCTCTGGGTTCGATGCAGTTTGTCCTGCCCGACAGGTAGGGGCTGCTAAAATCTGGAAAAGAGCTCCCGTCTGCCCGCCTCGCGTCGCGACGAATATCCCGCCTCGCGTCCTCGACGAATGACGACACCATGCTGCTGTCGCCAACGACAGCGAAATCCCACGAATCGATGAATATCCCTCCACGGGTGCTCGAATAGTGACGACACCGTGTAAACGAGACAGCCCCGAGAGGGAGGCATCATCACGGCGTCACGCCGTCCAGGCGTCACGACTGATGAGCAAAAGGGCATTCAGATGCGACATCAGAAGAACACACAGCCGAAACCCGCCGATCCAGCGTGTGGGGCTCACAAAGCCTCAGCTGCAGCCACAGCCTGAGCTTCAGCTCTGCTGGGGGGGGTCGCCTACGGCCCCGGTGGAAGCCGTGCAACCCATCCGTTGATGAAAGTGGGTATTTTTTTGGAGGTCCAGATTCCGATCTACTTTGAGCGCATTCCTACTTCAAGAGTCGAATGGTTCTCCCTCTTCCCTCCTTTACAGGAGGCGGGGCGACGTCCCGTGCTGCGCTCTCCTGGGGGGGGGGAAGGCGAACTCGGGCCCTGGGGAAGGCAGGGCGAGCTTGCTCCCGTTAGCTCTCGGAGACGTCTTGGAGAAGGCCCAGGGCCTCCTGGGCCCCCCACAAACGCTCAACGATCGGTCCAGGAGGACTCCTACGATGGCCTCCAGTCGGTCGCAGACGCGTCCACGACGTCCCAAGAGGCCCCCAAGTGCACCCACTCGAGAACACATACAACCAAACATCGTCCAACTTCCTTCGGGGAGCATGCGTTTTTTGCATGCACGCCTCCTCGGCCTTCACGGCGTCCACGGGGGCCCGAGAGGCCACCACGACTGCGCCCCAAGACAACCCCAGAAGCCCCCACGACCGCCCCGAAACGGCCCGAGGCAGCTCCAAAACGGTCCCAGAGGCGCCCAAGACGGCCCAGGAGAGGTCCAAGACGGCTCCCAAAGGAGCCCGAGAGGTGGAGCCCGAATCGAAAATTCAAGCCTTCCGCCCCAAGATGCCCCCACGACGCCCCAAGAGGCACCAGAAACCGCCCAAGTGGCCCCCAAGAGGCCACCCAAACGCCCAAAAAGGCTCCCACACGGCGCCCAAGAGGCTTCAAAACTGCACCCAAGAGGCCTATGTCCCACAACTGAGACACGGTGCGGGCTGGGCCGAGGCCATTCGATAATGCCAGAGCCCCATCTCAGCTCCCCCCTCACAACGCCAAAACGCCCCCCCAACAAAAACAACAAACGCGCGCCACAATAACCTCATGACAGCTCAGCATCAACTTCATGACCGCTGCCGGCTCGAGAAAGCCGCGAGAGCCGCCGACCGGGTCCCCAATGACCGCCGCCTGAGAGCGCTCCTGGACGCCCAAGATGGCCTGACGACGGCCCAAAAGGCCTCCAAGACGACCCCAAAGGACCCCAAGAGGACCTCCAAGAAAGCCTCAAGAAGGTAAAATCGTCAAAATCCGGCTGGTTTTTGTTACATGTGAGATTCTCGCCTTCTCGGCTTGCAGAGCGCCGACGGCGGTCAAAGAGGCCCCCAAGATCGTCGCAGGACAGCCCAAGAGGCCCCGAAGAGGAGCCACGACGGCCCAAAACGGCCCCAAGATAGCCCAGGGAGCTCCCAAAACGACCCCGAGAGGCACCCGAGGGGCCTTAAGAGGGTGAACCTGAGCTGACCCTTGAGATCCTCCCCCCAAGGAAGCCCCCAGAGGCCCCCAGAGGACCCCAAGAGATCTCCAAGAGGCCCCCAAGAGAACCCCAGAACCCCCGTAAAGGCCCCCCATAGACCCCCCAGAGCCAAAAGGCCCGAAGAGGCAGTCACTCGAGTGCTGCCATGCAAGAGATGCATGGTATGTCTTGGTATTGCTCGGACGCAAATCGTGGTGGTCGTCGTCGTCGTCATCGTCGACGTCGTCTTCGTCGTCTTCGTCGTCATCGTCGTGTTCGTGTTCGTGTTCGCGTTCGTCGTCGTAGTCGTCGTCATCGTCGTCGTCGTTACATCAGCTGGGCGCGCTCCCTGACCCCACATTGGGTGGGGACGTCATCAACGGACCAAATGCTTGTGCCTTCCGGACAACCCAGAAACGCTTGATGTGTGTTTTGCGATTTCGGCTTGGCGCGTTCGGAGCAGTTGTTGCTATTGTGTCCAGGTGCTGATCATATCGCATGGTTTCCATGCGCGTCTTCAGGATAACCCTTCTTTGAGCGCGCAATCAAGGCAGAATGTGTTTCTTTGTTGGCTGATTGTGGATGCTGCGTTCTTTTGAAAGAAAAGACCTTGGGATAACCCCCCCTCTGCGAGCCCCCGATTGGGACCCCTTCTGATGGGCCCGTTTTCCACCGCCGCCACTATATATATATATATATATATATATATATATATGTTGGAGGGGGGAGGGGTCCTCCTCGTCCTCCTCCTCCTCCTCCTCCTCCTCTTCTTCCTCTTCCTCCTCCTCCTCCTCCTCCTCCTCCTCCTCCTCCTCCTCCCTCCCCCATCCAACTGATGGTAGTGGTGGTGGAAAAAAGGCCCACCACCTTCCCCCTGCGGCGAAGAGCAGCGCAGCGACGGCCGCGCCCAGGCAGCCAGCTGGAGGACGCCCGCAGGGGCGAGGCGCGCTCGGCGGGCAGGCCGGGCCTCGTGCGCCACGCTCGTCTTCGACACGCTCCGCAGCATCTCCGGGCTGCGCACGCTGCTCAGCCTGGCCGGGGCGGTGAAGGAGCGCTTCCAGGAGTATCGTTTACAGCCAGACCAAAGACAGAAGAACATCCCTCAAGAACATGACACCCTACGCCGTCCAAAATGAAGAACATTCGAGGGTGCCCTCCCCAAAGATGCATAAGAACAGCTGTCAAGCACGAAGAACATTAGGGTACCCTCCCCGAGCCGACCTCGATCTTATACCTCGGTCCGCCCGTAAGCGATCACCATCCCCAGCGGCGTGGCCTGGGCCCTACTGGCCGATGTATCCCCCCCTGGATGGGGATGTAGGTCGTTCCCTTCGGGTTTCGAGGGGTGTATCCCCAAACTGGGGGGGTTATTTGGTGGGGGTCTCGGAGGGGATGGGGATGGAGATGGGGATTGGTAAAACGATGCCGATTCCAGACCTCCAGAGAGACTCGAGAACACAGGCGGTGGCGCAGAAAGCGCCCACCAAGCATCTCGGAGCGCGCCGTTGTGTTCAGAATCCCCGTGCCCCCCAGCTTCAGTGTTGAAAACGGGGCTGCCTTGGCGGAGACTGGGGGCGTTTCTTTGTATGCCGATGCTTGCACACTGACGCCGGCTGCGAATGCAGCATTGAATTGGGAGGCCTGGGGGCGGCACCGCCGAAGCAACGTCTGTGGATGGGCGATTGTTCTACGCCAACAGCGGTACAGTCGGGGCGTTGACCAAAGGAACCCTAAATAAGGAACCTTCGATTTCCTGTCGAAAACATAAGGAAAGCCTGAGGCAAGCTGTGAAACACGAAAAGGGTTCCTTCTTCAGGGCCCCGACTGTATGGCTTCTCGCGCTTCTCTGCGCGGCCGGCTTCCAGAGGCTGGCTTCGGACCCTGGGTCTGGCAGCAAACAGCCCAGGACGAAACGCCAGCCCCGGGGAGAGGGCCGAGAGGTCTGGGGGCCCGACACCAATGAACAGCGAGCCGTCAGGGGTCAGGGGTCGCATCCGTCGCATCGGAAGCTGCACCGACGCCGATGCCGGAACAGGCCGCGTCTGCACGGGGCTGGAGCCGAATTGGACTGGCCGCGCTGGGATGGACAGCAGCGCCATGCAGGCCACAGGCCGCATCGCATCACTTCGTAACGGGCGTGGACTCACCCGCCCAGCTCAGCGCAAACCCGGCGCATCCAATTTAGAAAAAGGCAGCGCTGCCGTTTTTTCGAGGATTCGTCTTTCCAAACCTTCGCATCCAATGCGCAAGGCCACCTCGATATGGCAAGCGTGGCCTGGCCAAAACGGCTCTGCAAGATCCTGCAAGATCCAGCGCTCTGGCTCCCGGTTGTGCCGAACCCCGTTGCACGCCAGCTGATCGGAATCGAATCGGATCGGGCTGGCCGAGATTGACGTCGAATCAGGTCGATCGGACCGACACGTACCCCAGCGGGGCCGCAGCAGGAGTGCCAGGCCACTCTCCGCCTGACGATGCCCAGCGCCGCGGGCACTCAAGGTCTCCAGGGGGCACCGCCCTGGCCTTCCCCTGCTCCTGCTCCTGCTCCTGCACTTTGCAGCGGAAACGGGCCGTTCCATTGCCCCCAGGGAGGCCCATGCGAGGAGACAACTTTAGAGGGTCGTCGCAAGAAGGATTGAAGGCAAGTGATCGCTCGTAAGGACCACTACACCCGATCAAACTGGATTGCGCTGAATTGCACGGGTCTCTGCCAGATTAGGCCAAATTTCGGCCATGGGCATGCCAGCGCAAATGCTGAATTGAACTTCCCAAAACTTGCATCCTAACCCACGCCCCTTGCCTACGTAATCACGCTCCACCCGCCTCACTCAAGCTTGACTCCTCCGCGTGTCCCCTGATATCAGCATGTGCCCAGTAAGAAAGCGCACGGCGTGTGTTACAAGCGCAATTTTCGATCTCGGACAAGGCGCGGCGGGGCGCCCGCTGACCACGGCGCGAATACGGCTGCTTCGGCGATTTGCCTTGCCATCGCTCGAACGTCCATTTCCCCTGCATGTGTTGGTTTCGTGCCTGCCTTTTGTCCGCAGGATGGTCCAGAATGCTCCTCACTGATCCCCGCAGGGGAAAAATACACACGTCCGAGCACTGCCAAGCTATAACGGACACCCGGCAGCCAGACGGAGGCCAACGAACGCGACGCCAGCGGATCCGCCACCGCTGGCGGGCGGGGCCGGCACGCGGCGATCGACGGCAAGGGGAGGAGGGGGCAGGGACAGGGGCAGGCGGCGCGGGCCTCTCCTCCTCCTGTCCCCCCCCCCTTCCCACTGAGCAGCGAGCCGCGTCAGTGCCCGCACGCACGCCCAGCACGCATCGGCGGGGCCAGTTTCACGAGCCGGCCACACGGGAGGGGAGCTCTGCGCGGCGGGAGAGGGGGGATGTCAGCCGAACGCTCCCAGGCGAGCGCTCTGTTTTCTGTTTGCTCGCGTGGGGGCCCAGGTGCCACGCGCGTCCCACAGCGGATGCATGACGGCGATCGGCCTGCTCGGTGATGGCGGTCGCCCCCCGCCCCCCTCCCCCCCATTCCTTCTCCTCCTCCTCCTCCTCCCCCTCCTCCTCCTCCTCCTCCTCCTCCCCCTCCTCCCCCTCCTCCCATCCTCTCCGCCTCCTCCTCCTCTCCTTCACTCCTCCTCTTCCTCCTCCTTCTCCTCCTCCTCCTCTCATCCTCCTCCTCCTCTTCCTCCTCCTCCCCCTCCTCCTCCTCCTCCTCCTCCTCCTCCTTCTCCTCCTCTTCCTCCTCCTCCTCCTCCTCCTCCTCCTCCTCTCCTCCTCCTCCTCCCTCCTCTCCCCCGTCCCCTTCGCCCCAGCATGCCTGCGGGCGCCTCCGCAACCTGCAAAGGCGAGGGACATCGTCGCCGCAAACGTGCACGATCTCCCTTGGGCGAGTTCTGTGAAACTTCGTTGTAGCGGCGCCGTGTCTTCCTTCTCCTGCTCCCCCAACCCCCCCCCCACACACCCCTCCACCACAATGTGCCTGCGAGCGCCGCCGCGTCCTGCGAGCGCGAGGAAAACCATTGCCGCAAAATTAGACGGTGCCTAATCTCGAATGCGACCGAGAGGCGGCCACGAAGCCTGAGCTCGTTGGGTCCCGACATAACCGGTCAAATGAAAAGTTGACTGCGAAGCCGTTCAAAATCGGTCCCCAAACCACTCCAAATATGCATCTGGTGCAATCGTTCATGCTGGATCCTTTTATGACGGTCGCATGTCCCGAAAGCAGCCCCTGGAGACCGAAAAGGGCCAAAACCAGCTGATAACCTGCGAACGGAGGCATGGAGCCGAAAGGCCAAACCGCCCGTCCGAAGGAGATCCGTAGGTAGAGGAAGGACGAAAGCGATGAAGGGTTTTATCCCTTGACGCTGCTCTGTCCAGTCCCTATGAGAGAGATCCAATCCAAGATCGCCAGTACCTGAGCCGATAGGCGCAGCGGTAAAGAGAGGTAAAAGTGGGATAGGAGAGGAATTCACACACATTTCAAACATCCAGCGCCTCGAACCTGCCCGCCCCTTCCTGCTGGCCGGAACTGGTGCTGGGCCAAAGCAGACCCCCAGCCGGCTCCAAAGCAATTCTCCTGCTCCCCCTCCGATCGCCCCTGGGACGCACAAGGACATACTACTACGAGATGGTCTCATCGGAAGGGTGCGTCCAACACGAACATATAGTATAACCATCTTGTAAGCAACACCTCATCGACTGGGCACAACATGCGCTGGGGATGCCAATCATGCAATCGTGTCGCAACAAAAACCAAATCAAGCTGCCCGGCTATTCGCCCGAGTGGCAGCGCGGGCCCCTGCATCTCTTATTCGGACAGCGGGGCGGACCATCTTGTAGTATGTCCTTTCCCCCGCAGTGTGGCCAGAGAGTGCCCGCCACCGCCCATAGACACTAAGATTCCTCGGCGGGCGCGTCGCCACCGGGAGGGCGACGCACACATAGTATCAGCATGCTGGCTCGCCGCCGAGCCTGTACAGTCAAGAACCCTAATGAGGACGCGCGGTAAGGACGCAAGGCCCTTGGAAGCCGAAGTTGGGATTTTTGGGGCGGCGGACGACGAACACCTCAAGGACGCAAGCGCACGGAAGAGCAAAGACGCAAGGGTACCCTGAGCAAAGTCGCGCGTCCTTACTAGGGTTCTTGATTGTACCATCGCTCAGGCGGCCATTCCCCGTACATTTTCTATGCTCCGCGCGTGCACTCTCTGCCAAGTAATCCAGGATGCTCCTCGATGGCCCTCGCCGAAGAGACAACTGCCCACGCCCGAGCGCTGCCAGGCGTCCCTCCTCCGCCCCCCTCCGCGGGCGGCCTGGGTGAGTGCCACCCCGGGCACGGCGTGTGCGCTGCGGCCGCCACCGGCGCAGCGGCCGCGAGCGGCACCTGCCCGGGGGAATGCGTGGGAACGGACGGAGGGAGGGCAGGGTCAAGCTGCTGTCAGGTCGGGCATGTGCTCCTACAGCCGGAATTTGGACGACACATGGAACACGGTGAACACAAAAGTCCCAGGTGGCCAAAGGCAGCAGGAACATCCTCCGCGGCCTGTTTTTGTTGACTGTATCCGAATACTCCTCCTGTCGAGGGGCGTGCCCTGCCTCAAGCCGCTGTCGGCGGCGCGCCCAAGGGGAAGGCGAGGGTACCGAGGGTGCTGACTGTACCGGATCCCAGGGCGGCGCTCGGCACGGCGGCCGCAAAGAGAGGGCTTCGAACCACGAGGCAGGCTCGACCACTGCAGACGCGGAGGCAACACCTGGAGTGGGGCCACAACAAAATCAAAGAGCTGGGGGAGCCGAAGACCTTACTCATCGGCGCCCCGAGGGAGAAATTTATAGGGAGAATCCTGGAAACTCGCGCGGCAACTTGAGACCCTATGTACGTCGGAACCACGTCGGATTCACGTCGGGCTCCTGTCAGATCACGTGGAAATTACGTCGGGCTCACGTCGAAGCTTTGCCGCGCGAAGGGAGCGCACGAGTGGACTAGATGCTATATAATCAAGATCAGTCCACAAGCAACCATTCGCAAGAAACCCAATCCTGAACATCGCAGAGGTTTCTTGGGCGAGGGCAGTACGTAGGCTGCTGCCAGCGAAGAACCTCAGGGTACCCTGGGCCAGGCGCTTGATTGATACATCGCGCAAAGAGCATCTCAGCGTCAAGACATTCAGGGTACCTTGCCAGCTGCGGATTCTTCACGACCGCTGCAACCTTCGATCCAAACACAAACCAACCAAACCCAGGGTACCCTGGCAAACTGCACGATTCTTCTTGACATAAGCTCCCACTATAAGTATTGCGTACCGCGCGAGACATCCAGCAGTTTCGTCATAGCGACGGAGGAAATGAGAGGGGGCAGGCCTTCTCAGAAGACGATGGGGCTTCTCCGCCGCCCTCTGGCCTTCTGAAAAACCACCTATGGCTTCAGAGCAGGCTCAGAAAACTCCTCAAAAACTGGGAGGCCCCCTGAAGCATCTGGGAAGGCCCGCCCAATCTGCCGTCCCATCTGGGCGTGCTGGGACTCGCTCGATGGGGGAGACATCGCGAACTTGAATCGAGGATGGACAAACCCCCCTTTAGTAAAACATGGTTTAGTGAAAACGACCTGAGGCCCAAACCTGGCGGGCGCAAGCCTGGAAAATAACGGCCACGGCGCCATCTCGAGAACCGAAAACGGACAATTCACTAATCGACGTGGCACTGTTGGGGGTTCTGTCCATCCCCGATTGAATAGGCGATACATCGCCGGTAGATCGGCGATAGGCCCGCGATGGCAAAACCGCGCGTTGACGTGCGGGGTTGACTATCGGGCTCCTACCGGCGATGCATGAGCGCTAAGGGGTCGATGCATCCCCCTCTGAGCTTGTCCCCACCCCTGACGGTGTCTCTGGTAGTACAGCAAGTTCGTGTCGTATCGTGGCGACCCCAGCGTTGGTTTCCGACACCGCATGGATCGTCCAACCTTGAACGAACGGCGGGCTTTCAATCACCAAATCCTTCCGTGCTGGCGGAGTCCAGGCCATTGGCGGCGCCGGGCTTGAACGCCATCGATGGGGTCCGGCCCCGCCTTCACGACACGAACCTACACTACGTAGAGAAGGCGAGATGAGGCAAGCCGCCCCTTTGTTGGTCCCAGAGAGTGCGCCCTGGTGCACGAGGAGAGCTGGAGGAGTCAGCGTGGAAGGAGACCCAGAGAACAGCGAGCCCCTCCCGAACCCGACCTGCTCTCCTCATGTACTGACCAAGGGAGAGGGGGGCGGCAGGGGAGCTGAGGCTGCTGCTGCAGAACGTCGGCATGCGCGTGTACGGAGCTCGAATGCATGGGGAGGGGGTGAGCCGAGGGGCTACGACGGATGACTGACGACGGCGACGATGACGGACGGACGGCGGGGACGGGGAAGAGGACGACGGAAGTCGACAACGACGGACGCAGGATCCGTCTCAGCACTCACTCGGGGAATCGGCTCGGACCCGAAAGCGCGTCGGATCGGGCCGCATTGGCACAGAGTCGAGATCGAACCAGATCGGCTGGCATGCGGAACACGTATGAACATCGCCGTCGGTCGTCGCCGCCGCCACCGCCGCCACCGACGTCGCTCGTCGTCGTCCTTGCGGTCGGAGGTTGCGAAAATCTGTCCTGGCTTTTCGTATCGCTTCGAAGCCCCCAAGGCCGTCTGGGCATCGTGAGGTGTGCTCTGGAGAACACGTTTGCGCCCTCGAAGCTCAGATATCTGGCGATGCAGTCGTCCAATCCGAGCCGAGCGAATGTCTCCACCCTTCCCAGGAGGCAACGTTTCGTCACGCATCTGTTGTTGATTGTCCCGAGGCCCGAAAAAGCAATTCCAAAGTGGTCGGAGATAAGAAAACACAGCTCCGTGATTGAACAATTAACTACATCGCCGGATATCGGGGAACGGCAGGCCTGAGCCAGATCGGATCGAGACATTGGATCAGATCGGAAACCGATCAGATCGCCAAGCGAATCGCCCCGAATCGGACCGAAATCGGACCTCCATGCCCGGCTCTGGCTGGCGCCAGCCGATGCCGATGCAGTGAGCCGAACCAGATCGAGTCGGATCGTAGGCGGCCCTGGGACCGGTGGGCTGCCCTCGGGTCGCCGCTGGTATTTCCACGCCCGAAGCGGGTGCTGAAGAAGTGGATAGTGGCCGTTGTCGGGGCAGGCGTCTGTTCTTTCAAGTCGACAGCGTCAGCCGCGACACCAGCAGCGAGTCCTCTCTTCAAAATGGGCACCATCTGCTGTCGGTCTGCCTCCCCAGTGCCCGTTCTGACTGTTCCGAAGGCGAAGGGGCAACTTTAGGGAGGGTCCCGCTCAGACAGGGGGGCCATTGACCTGGCATCGGCGAGACATCGCTGCTAGATCGGCGATGGGCCCACGATGGCAACGCCGCAAACTCCTGAGCGGGGCGGGCCATCGGGCCCCCAGTCGACGTTCGATGGGCGATTGGGGGGTCGCTGCGTGCCCCCCTTGCCCCCAACGTTGCTCCGTGGTCTTCGGGTCATCACGCGGCCCTCCGACGGCCGTTCGGGACGATGCGGGCACGCGCGGAACGCTCTCGGCGAGGCGCAGCCGCTGGGAGGTACCCCCCGCCTGGAAGAGCTGCCGAGACCCGACAAGATCGCCCGACAATCTCGACGCCCCGGAGCCCATCCGCCCGTGGCGTTGCGCGTCAAGTTTGATTGAGCAGAAGCGTCACCTCTGGTGGCGTCCGGCCGCGGGGCCAGCAGGAGCGACCACGGGCTGCCCTGCGACCAGCCCGAAAGCCGCGAACCTCACACCCCTGGGCCTCTCCGCCCCGAACGTTGCCCCTGAAGTTCGGCTGCGTTGAAGGGTCGCTCACCTCTGGTGGCGCCAGGCCGCAAAACCCCCAGGACTGGCGGCGCGCACGGGGCGGGAGGCGCTTGGAAGGCCTCTGCCCTCCTTAGGAATGCTCTAAACTTTCCCCGAAGACCCCTGTCAAAGGCTGGAAGGCTTCTGAGAACCAGGGGAAAGGAGCAGGAGGAGGAGGCGGAGGAGGAGGAAGAGGAGCAGGAGAAGGGAGGAGGAGGAGGAGGAGGGGAAAAAGGAGGAAGATGAGCAGGAGGAGGAGGAGGAAGAGGAGGCGGAGGAGGAGGAGGAAGAACACGGAGGAAGAGGGAGGAGGAGGGAGGGGGAGAAAGAGGAGGAAGAGGAGGAGGAAGGAGAGCAGGAGGAAGAGGAGGCGGAGGAGAAGCAAGAGGGGGAGGAGGAGGGAGCAGGAGGAGGAGGAGGAGAAAAAGGAAGAGGGATGGAGATGGAGGAAGAGGGATGAGGAGGAAGACGGAGGAGGAGGCGGAGGAGAACAGAAGAGGAGGAGGAGGGAGGAAAAGGGAAGCAGAGGGAGGAAGAGGAGGACGGCGGATGAGGGATGAGGGCCACTGAAAGCGCGTCCGTATCGAATGCGCCTCAAGAACGAATCCAAACCCTGAGGGGCCGCGTAGCGGCTGGATATCATGAACTGGGAGGGCGAGCGAAGGCCAGGGAAAACCCACGCCACAAACCACGCCCAAGAAAACACAACGATCAACTACGTCTTGCCGTCGGGTCGCTCAAGCGCGCCCACGTCGGCCGTGGAAGATCCCGCCGATCAGCCCAAACTGGTTGGCACGCGTGCTCGGGTTCTCTGGGAGCGCACGGCGCGCGCGACGGAGCTTCCGAACGCTGCGCGCCGTCTCGAGAGTCGTGGTGCCCGCAGACTTGCGGCAACGATGAACCAAAATAACACAGGAAACGTCGTGGCCCAAAACAGCGGATTCCGCTATGAGCCCAGCCGGACCTGAGATGTTCGGAGCATCAACTAGCCACTGCATCTGGGGAGGGCCCACGGGGCCAGGGGCGGGCTCGGGATCCCGCGAGGCCTGACAAGGGCCGCCCCCTAATACTTCGTCGGCGAGCTCCTGGGAGGGCTTAAGGCGGGGGTGTGAAAGCCTGATCCAGTCCCCCTTCGAATCCGAAACCACTCGGAACTGGCAACGCGCTGGATCGCAGAGGGCTCGCATTTCCTGCCCGACCCAATGCGATACCACGAAAGAGTCGTATCCGAACGAGCCGACCCCCGCAATTCCTGCACCTGTGTTCTTTCAGCCTCCAGCACCACCAGGGATAACGTTCACACGCGCGACCAAAGACGACTGGCTTGCCCAGGATATCACGGAGGGGCCCCGAAACATCGGGGCAGGCCCACGACCCTCACGCTCTGAAGCGATAACTCGGAGGCAGGCCCAGGAGACAAACTGGAGTGTAGCTTCGTGGATTGTCAAGGCCTCATCGGGCGAATTTGACGCAGGATTGGCAATTGCATGGCGCGCGGCCCTGGTCTTGGAAAAATAGTCGGCCCAGGCGTTGCCGAG